TATTTTTTCCCATCTCACAGATCAGGCTTCAGCTGTGGGATACTGCGGGTCAGGAACGTTTCCGTAGCCTCATTCCCAGTTACATCCGTGACTCTGCTGCAGCTGTAGTAGTTTACGATATTACAAGTAGGTATATTGCAATGGGTTGACCTTTCATATTTTTCTTGCTTGTTTGACTGATTTTGTTGTTAGGTACGATTGCAATTATGGGACACAGCAGGTCAAGAGCGGTTCAGGAGCTTGATTCCTAGCTACATTCGTGACTCCACTGTGGCAGTTGTTGTTTATGATATCACAAGTGAGTGGGGGGAATTATGCATTTCTAATCTTCTTTCAACCTTTAGCTTAGCTGCATGCATGTTCTTGTCTTGTGCTTGTTTTCCTTACTGGCATGTAAAAATAAGTTTTATCATAGTAAATCACATACCAGCCAGGTCAGAAATACTTGCTTTGGTGTTTGTACCAATGTGCTTTATATCTAACTGTGCCAGGTTTTTTGCCCCAGAATTTTCTTTTGGGCTCAATTACTAATTCTCTTCAAGGGTTTCTCAGTATCCTGTTATTCCTACGCCATACCATGATTATAGTTGGAGGAATGTCTCCTTTTCATTTAATTTGATCTCAGATTTCTCTAAAATAAAATAATCTGCATTTAAGTCTCTTGCCAAGTTTTCCAAATCCTCCAGGGTTTCTGTTGAGGCTATTACAAGCTTCTGCTAGCCAGCTTTTCTCTGCTTTCCCCTTCCAGCCATTCTCTCTCTGTAGAGGAAGACAGAGAAAACATAATACATAGTTTTTTATTAATCTTTTTTATTTGAATCATATTTTGGTTTTGTGACTGACTGACTTTATTGCTAACAAATTACACTTTTATTTCCCTCCAAGAAAAAAATTTTAAATGAGAGGTGAAACAACTAGTAGTCTTTTTCTTTTTTCCTGAAGATTGAATAATGCCTGTGGCCTTTTAAATGACTGTAAATTTTCCATGAAGTATTGGTGACTGACAAGAAAATGCTTTGTGATTGAAATTGCCTTTGTAAATTGGCTTATGACATACATTAGGCAATATTAAACATTATTCCATATAGTGGTTTATAATTTATAGGAAAACCAGGGTCTTGAACTCCTGGGCTTAAGTGATCCTCCTGCCTCAGCCTTAAAGTGCTAGGATTAGCTTGGGCACAGTGGCTCACGCCTGTAATCCCCTCATTTTGGGAGGCCAACCACGGCAGATCACCTGAGGTTGGGAGTTAGAGACCAGCCTGACCAAGATGATGAAACCCCGTCTCTACTAAAAATATAAAATTAGCCAGTTGTGGTGACACATGCCTGTAATCCCAGCTACTTAGGAGGCTGAAGCAGGAAAATTGCCTGAACGCAGGAGGTGGAGGTTGCAGTGAGCCGAGATGGTGCCATTGCACTCTAGCCTAGGCAACAAGAGTGAAACTCAGTCTCAAAAACAACAACAACAACAACAAAGTGCTAGGATTACAGGCATGAGCCACCGTGCCCAGACCTTTTTAAGTTTTTTAAAAGGGGCTTTCTTTTTAAATTTTTAAAAAATTTACCACACTACACAGATGTGGTATCTTGGGCTAAAAAAAAAAATCTTACATAGACAAAGGATCTATTCATTTGGACTAGTAATACTGTTACTATACATTTTTTGATATCTCCTCAGTCTGGAGCCATATCTAATAAAGAATAATTGTGCTGGCAAAATTAGAAGATTGCATTCAAGGACTTTTTTTTTGAGATAGGTGCTATATGCATTCTTTTTTCCTTTGCACCTTTACTTTGGGTTGCTGTTTGTTTTAAAAAAAGAAGTATGTTCATATTGTGCATTGACAAGTTTTGTAGCTTTAAAATGTTTGTGCTTACTTTAACCAAAGCAAGTGAAACCTGGTGTATTTTTTTTTTATAATTCCACTAATGTGATTAAAATAATAGTAGTATATTGTTTTCTTTAGCTACTGTAATAAGTGTTGAAGTACTCTACTTAGAATCCAACCCTAGAAAAAATAAATTTTGCTGCAAATGTTTCTGGTGCATTAAACAAATAAACTTTAGGTTAAAGTGATCACAAACTGAGGAAACAGTGCAAACAGTGGTGTTGAAAGCTATTGAAAGGCTTTAAAAATTTTCTGGATGTGTTGGGACTTACTGGCTGACATACTTTTGAAAATGCTTTCTTTGTCACGTTTGGTATGTGTAAGTGATCAAAAAAGCATTGTGGCAATGTGACACCATATTATCTGCCATAGCTGTCCTTATATTTCAAGAAGTTTTTTTTTTCTCCCAATTAAATACTACATTGTGCTCATTTGGTCATGTTCAAAAAACTTTTTAACTACTCTTAAAAGGAACCTTGAAGATTTAATTCTTGTAATTTGTCTAAATTGCTGACAGTTGTAATCAGATAAAATGGAGTTATGTTGCAGGCACATTAAAAGTCGGGTACTAATGTGCCAGACCCCTTCCAAGTTTGAGGGCTTTTTTGGAGGGAGGTGCCCACCACCTGGGGAGGCATTTTTCAACAACACTAATCTCTCTGTCTACCCTCCTATGCCAGATGTTAACTCATTCCAACAAACTACAAAATGGATTGATGATGTCAGAACAGAAAGAGGAAGTGATGTTATCATCATGCTAGTAGGAAATAAAACAGATCTTGCTGACAAGAGGTATGGAGTTATTTTATGTTTGTGTAATGTTTGATTTCTGTGTTATGCAGCCTTTTATTTTTGTTCAATGAAAACTTATTTCAGAGGAGACATGCTTAATCCTTAAGTTTATGTCCTCCCCTTACTTTTCTTTAGCATGGGAACCTGAAATACAAATGTAAACATTAAACACCCAGTCCTTAATGGAAAATGAATTTTATTTTGTTTAAGCCCATGTGTAAATAACTCTTGTGCAAGATTGTTTAGACATGAAGCCAGTAAATATTTTGCATTTTTTAAGATCTCATAAGCATGGATAGTGTTTTGTTAAAGAGCAAACCCTTTGCAAAAGAAACCTTATCTTTAAAAATTATTCATAATGATTAGATGCAGACTCTTAGTAGTCTTCTTATAAACATTCATTATAATTCAGTGGTGTGGGATTTTGTTTTTTAGGTGTTTGTTTTTTTTAATTGTGTGGTTGAGCCAGACTCTGTAGTTGCACTGAATAGCCTGATTGTGTTACCTTAGTCAAATGAGCAAAGCGATATTCAAGTCACAGGATGCAAAATATATTAACATTCACTGTAGAACCCTTGGCTTGAATATATGCTTTCAGCATTCTTAAGGGATTTACTGCATATTCTTTCTGCTTTAAATAGTTTTGGCCATACTACTTAATAGTAAGAGCTTTTACTATTTATTATTTGTTTATTCATGAGATGGATATTGAAATTTAGGTAATGAACTTGTGATATTAATTCAAATGTTGCAAAGAAATCCAGTATTAAAAGACTTGTGGAGATTTCAAGCCCATTTATGCCTATGGCACTTCAATTAGAATTGGTAGTACAGGCCGGGTGTGGTGGCTCATGCGCGTAATCCCAGCACTTTGGGAGGCTGAGGTGGGCGGATCACCTGAGGTCAGAAGTTCGAGACCAGCTTGGCCAACATGGCAAAAACCCATCTCTACTAAAAATATAAAAATTAGCCAGGAGTGATGGCAGAAGCCTGCAATCCCAGTTACTCGGGAAGCTGAGAAAGGAGAATTGCTTTAACCCCGGGGGCAGAGGTTACATTGAGCCAAGAGATTGTGCTACTGCATTCCAACCTGGGTGATACAGTGAGATTCCATCTCCAAAAAAAAAAAGAATTGGTAGTACAGTTGCAAAAAAAGTCTTTCTTAATTTAAAAGTAAATTCAAAGTGATTTCATCTTAGGTACCTTCTTTTTTTTTTTTGAGATGGAGTCTTACTCTGTCATTCAGGCTGGAGTGCAGTGGTGTGATCTGAGCTCATTGCAACCTCCACACACACACCCCCCGCCCCCAACCCCAGGTTCAAGAGATTCTCCTGCTTCAGCCTCCTGAGTAGTTGGGATTACAGCTGCCACCATGCCTGGCTAATTTTTGTATTTTTAGTAGAGATGGGGTTTCACCATCTTGGCCAGGCTGGTCCTGAACTCCTGATCTTGTGATCCACCTGCCTTAGCCTCCCAGAGTGCTGGGATTACAGGCGTGAGCCACCATGCCTGGCCAGCACCGTCATTTTTAAATAGAAAAATTGTATATCTGAATTGTTTCCCTCTATAGCCAGAATCATCTGAGTAGGATGGTTATAGGATTAGTTTTTTTTTATAGCTTAACATTTCAGTTGAGTACCCAAATGATAGGAACTTATCAAAATTATATATATATATATATATTTTTTTTTTTGTTGTTGTTTGTTTGTTTGTTTGTTTGTTTTGTTTGGTTTTTGAGACAGAGTTTCACTCTTCTTGCTCAGAATGGAGTGCAGTGGCACAGTCTCGGCTCACTGCAACCTCTGTCTCCCAGGTTCAAGTGATTTCTCCTGCCTCAGCCTCCCAAGTAGCTGGGATTACAAGAGCCCACCACCACACCTGGCTAATTTTTATATTTTTTGGTAATGATGGGTTTTTACCATGTTGGCCAGGCTGGTCTTGAACTCTTGACCTCAGGTGATCCACCCACCTCAGCTTCCCAAGGTGTTGGGATTACAGGGGTGAGCCACCATGCCCAACCCCAAATTATATTTGTAATAATTTTTCTTTAAGGTAACATTTGTCAGCTCCTTTGAAATTACCATCTTTCTTGGTAATCTTTGCCAGACTATCATCTCTCAACTGCTCATGTTTAAGAGAAACAGAGCTTGTTCATTCCACTGAAATGACTTTCAAATGGGTAAAAGACTTAATTTTTCTTATCATCTTTATATTTTGACCTTTTATAAGCATGACATGAAATCCTGAAGCCGTAAAGGGAAAGATTGATAAGTTTGAATACATAAAGAGCATATTCACCTATTAGATCGACCACGATTCAGAAGATTTAAATGCTCAGTAATGTTAAGAGTTTGAATAAATAAGAACTCTCATGCTCTGAAAATGTATATACAACTTTGGGGGAAACAGTTGGATTATATTAAAATTTAAAATAACGTTATTGACCCAATATCTCACAGATGGTCCCACAGAAATGTGAAAAGGTGACCATACTGTTTTGCAACATTATTTGTAATACTAAAAAATAAAAATCAATCTAGATGTCCAACAGTAGTAGATTGGAGATATAAATAGTATAAAATGCTATTTATACCATTTATATATACTATTTAATATTTAAATATTAGTATTTAGTATTTGAATATTTAAATAGTATTTTATACTATTTATATCTTTGTAGCCATTAAAAAGAATGAGAGGAATTTATTGATGTTTTAACATATATCTAACACATGAAGCTTAGAAAAACACTTGATCAGTGTGTATAACACAATATCTTTTCTATTTAAAGAAAGATGGTAGGCCAGGCAAGGTGGCTCATGCCTGTAATCCCAGCACTTTGGGAGGCCGAGGTGGGCAGATCACTTGAGGTCAGGAGTTTGGGACCAGCCTGGCCAATGTGGTTAAACGGCATCTCTACTAAAAATACAAAAATTAGCTGGGCATGATGGCATGCACTTGTAATCCCAGTTACTCGGGAGGCTATGGCAGGAGAACTGCTTGAACCTGGGAGGCGGAGGTTGCATTGAGCTGAGATTGTGCCGAGATCACACTACCACACTCCAGCCTGGGTGACAGAGTACAACTCGGTCTCAGAAAATAAAAAAAGATGGTAGTGATTTATTTGTTTGCTCTATTAGAAAAAATCTGAATAAGAATACATGAAACTTAACTGTGGTTCTTTTGGGGAAGGGAGTGGGATTGTGGACGATTTTATTGATTCATCTTTGAAAAATTGATTACTTTTGTAGTCAGAAGAATATATTTTAATCAAAACAAAAAATTCAAAGTTAAATATCTTTTTTTTTTTTTTTGAGACGGAGTTTTACTCTTGTTACCCAGGCTGGAGTGCAATGGCGCGATCTCGGTTCACCGCAACCTCCGCCTCCCGGGTTCAGGCAATTCTCCTGCCTCAACCTCCTGAGTAGCTGGGATTACAGGCACGCACCACCATGCACAGCTAATTTTTTGTAGTTTTAGTAGAGATGGGGTTTCACCGTGTTGACCAGGATGGTCTCGATCTTTTAACCTCGTGATCCACCTGTCTCGGCCTCCCAAAGTGCTGGGATTACAGGCTTGAGCCACCGCGCCCGGCGCAAAGTTAAATATCTTTATTAACCTTCTTTGAGAGTAAATAAAAGACTTAAGTTTTAGAAGTTTTGGTACTACCCTTAGATACTATGATTTAGTGAGCCTGCAGTAGGGCCCAGGAATCTATATTTTTTTTTTTTGAGACAGAGTTTCACTCTTGTTACCCAGGCTGGAGTGCAATGGCACGATCTCGGCTCACTGCAACCTCCGCCTCCCGGGTTCAGGCAATTCTCCTGCCTCAGCCTCCTGAGTAGCTGGGATTACAGGCACGCGCCACCATGCCCAGCTAATTTTTTGTATTTTTAGTAGAGACGGGGTTTCACCATGCTGACCAGGATGGTCTCGATCTCTTGACCTCGTGATCCACCCGCCTCGGCCTCCCACAGTGCTGGGATTACAGGCTTGAGCCACCGCGCCCGGCCAGGAATCTATATTTTGAAGAATCTTTCTAGGTGCATCTGACATAGCCAAACCACAATTGGGACCATTACTGTAGTTAACCTCCAACTACTTTATTAGGACCACCTTAGTGGATATGATCAGGAGTATAAAACCAGTAAGGATTTCTGTCCTGAATCCTCCATGTATAGGCTTTATAGACTAGTGAGCACTCATTCAAGAAATATTTATTGGTGTCACTTATGTTCCAGATGCTTCTGCACTAGCATACAGTAGTGAACACAAAAGACAAATCTTCAAGGAACTTTTATCACAGAGAGCAATCCATACAATAAATAAGTCAATAAAATATGTAATATATTAGATAGTGATAGATGCTAACAGGGAAAAATGAAGCAGGGAAAGGGGACATGAAATGCTAAGGAAGGATTTGAAATTTTAGATAGGTTGGCAATGGAAGACCTCAATGAGAAGGTGACTGGTGACTTTATGAAGAGGGGGAGGTTAACTATGTAACTATCTTGAGGGGGGAAGGTTGTAGGCAAAGGGCTCAGAAAATGAAAAAAATCTCTGAGTCAGTATATTAGGGTTCTCAAGAGTGAAAGGCCCAATAGGATATATGTATATACGAAAGAGAATTTTTTAAGGAGTATTGACTCACACAAATACAAGGTAAAGTACCACAATAGGCCATCTGCAAGCTGAGGGACAAGGAAGCCAGTTCAATTCCCCAGACCTCAAAAGTAGGGAAGCTGACAGTGCACCCTTCAGTCTGTGGCCGAAGGCCCAGGAGCCCTTGGCAAACAACTGGTGTAAGTCCAAGAGTCCAAAAGCTGAAGAACTTGGGAGCCTAATGTTCGAGGGCAGGAAGCATCCAGCACAGGAGAAAGATGAAGTCTGGAAGACTCAGCCAGTCTAGTCCTTCCACTTCTGCCTACTTTATTCTAGCTGCTCTGGCAGCTGATTAGATTGTACCTATCCAGATTGAAGGTGAGTCTGCCTCTCCCAGT